GTTATCTGTCTATATACGTAGACCTCGAAAATACCGATCTGTTCCGTGTTAGAAATTACTGAGGAAATTTAAAATCTCAGCTTTCAAAAAAATTAGTATCTACCAAAAAGCATACGGGGAATGCTGGGGAAGCAAATGGTGAACTGGATCCCCCAAAGCTGTGTCCAACAGTAGCAGAATACCGACGAAACACCTGTCTGGATGCCAGGATGGTCAAGAAGTACGTAGCTTATACCTCACATGGGTCCAGTTGTAGCCTTGGATTGCAGTGCTTTTATACATCATTCTTGTATTCTTATTATTTTACAGTCCCAGGATATTCTAGTATACTGGGAGTAGAAGGACAAATGCTTAGGATGACGTTTGGGAATCCATTCTTACGAGACATTTCTCACGGGACTTAATCCGACGCATCACGGGTCAGTACTTGGGAGATTGCCAACCGATGTGAAGATACTGTGATGAAGACGCTATTAAGCAACATCAGCAAAGACCCGACAAGTCTTCGGAAGTCAAAATCAATAACACAGATCGACTGGCAAAATATGAAACCAAAGAATATAGCGCTTGCGAGATTCTGTGGCTTCCCCAAAGTCTACAAACCACGAACCCCCCTATGGCCGATAGTTTCCATTAGCGGCGCCCCAACGTTTGGTCTTGCCTGGTGGCTATCTCAACGTCTTAAATGTCTAATTAAGGGCTCTGCAATGAAAGGCCCCTCAGATGAACACTTCATGCAAAAGCTGTAGGGTATTCGGCTAATTAATGACGAAGTGATGATATCTTTCGGTGTGACCTCACTTTTTACAGAAATATCTTGCAGTTGAGCCATTCAAACTCTGTTAGAAGAGCAATGCAAAGAAGCAGACATGAAGCTCAAAATAGATCACCTTATTGAATTCCCGAAACACTGATTAAGCACCTCTTCACCTTCAATGGAACTGTAAACGAACAGGGAAAAGGAACAGAAATGGGGTAGCCGTTGTCCGGTCTGATTGCTGAGGCAGTAGTAAAACAACTGCAGCCACTAGCTGTCGACCACTACTCATTATGATTATGGATGTAGTATGTTGATGACATCTGTGCCATCATTAGTCGAGACGGGATTAAGGATTTCACGATGAATCTGAACTCGATCTTCCTCGACATCCAGTTCACGATGGGGAAGAAAAAACTGTCAATTTTCGTTGTCTGACGTGCTGGTGTGCAGAAAAGACGAAGGGAACGCAAAAAACAGTACACAGAAAGGCGACGAATACCGCTCGTATTCTGAGTTATCATAGAAACCACTCTGACTCGCACAAATGCAGCTGCGTGCAAACGCTATATTGCCTAGTATAAACCCACTACAGCGAACCAGCCGACAAGAAGATTAAGGACCAGTTTCTGAGGAAACTCTTCACGATAAATGGATATCCTGACAGCTTCATCGAAAAATGCAGATGAAAAGCCAAAGAAAGAAGACAAAAGGGGCAGCCATAACCAACATGCTGACGAGAAATAGCTTATATTGCTGGTACATCCGAAGAATTCGTTCGACTGGCCAGCGAATTCAGAATTGGCGTCGCTCACAGACCGGAAGCATCAATCCGCAGCCTAAACACCCAATACCCGTTCATCAAAATCCGGTCTTTGTCTTCGTAGTCAAGCTAATTATGTTGGTGAAAGCGGCAAACGGGTTCTCACGAGACTGCACGAGCATGAAGTGGCCGTGCGATGGAAGGACAGGCTTTCCTTGCTATTCGCCCACGCATCCTCACCAGGGCACGACTTCGACTGGGTAAGTCACACGTACAATTTTCACGCCTGCTGCAGGAAATATGACATTCACGAGCAGATTCTATTAACAGGCATATAGATCTTCCGGATGCATATCTGGCATTGTGCAAATAAATCAATGACAGAGCTGAAGGCCATTCCCGGCAAAACTGTCTTAAATGTGCGGTGAGCTGTACACTATTTTATTCCTCGACAATGGACTCGCGTGAGAGTCCGAAACGTCGGACAAACAAAAACAACTGTTACCAAAGAACGCCTTTCCGTCTTCTATGCTTTATCGGATCCACTTCATCCTATCCTCCTAGTCGCTACGTAAGTGCATACGCAGGCTCTAATTGTGAGCGAAGCGGCGAAGCCCATGCTTTTATCATCTTCCCAATCTCAACCTACAAAGCAGCGAGCCTGTGGTACAATGGTAGAGTGAAAAACTCAATAACCAAAAGGTCCCGGGTTCGAATCTTGAGGGTTCCAACTCTTGAGATAGGGTATGACTGGCCGATAACGGCTAACAAGCCAGAAATGGCCATTCCGGTCTCCCTTGTCTTTGTC